AATGTTTTTTTATCTCTGTGCTCCTTTAATAGGTTTGGTGTACACACCCCAAAAAACCCCCACACCCACCTGGGGGGGGGGGGGAATTCTGGGAGTTGAAGTCCACACATCTTAAAGTGGCCAAGGTTGAAAAACACTGATCTAGAAACCAGGCCAGTGGGTTGTTCATGGCTGAAGTTTTCCATGAGCAAGAGTTCTTTGCAAAGAGCCCCTACCTTGGCATTGACTTCCCCTCGCAGTGCTATCCGCTACCAGATATGTTCCCCTCACGGTTCCATTCCCAAAACTGAGATATCATTTCATTATTTCCTTATATGAGGTTTTGCATGCTGCCTAATTCCTAAGCTTCGAAGCGCTTTGCAGTAACAGAAAAATAACACGGAGCCTTCCCAGTTTTAGTAACTGAGGGGTAGCTAAGGGGAGTCCTTTCCCCATCAGCACCCAAATGCTTGCAGAATGAAATGGCCTTAAGTGCGTTCCAAAGGCAGGGCCATTCCAGGTTCATATATTAAAATGCTTTCTTGACTCTCCCACCTAAATTGTGTGCATCTTATCTCTGTGTATTTTAAAAGCTGGCACTAACACACGTTATGATGCTTCACAGATGTATTTTTTGTCTACTCCTGTGAAGTAGCCTCAAATATTTAATGCGTGTTAAATAACACTGCATGATTAAAACTCTGATGCCCCTCACTTCTGTAATGTAAGTGAATTATGGCTGATTTTTAAAAAGTTTTTTACTCAGCTGAAATACTGTTTCTAGAGGGTCTTTTCAAGGGGACGTGAAAAGCAGCTCTTTTACTACCAAGCGGTGACAGAAAACAGTAAGAATGATAACTTCCTGTGATTTGGAATCATATTTGCAAAGTAACCTTTGGTTATTCCCCAATATTTCTGTTGAGGCATCTTAAAGTTTCCTTGCCCTCTTTCACAGCCACATCACAGTATCTTCCTGCAGGGACCAGTAGAGCAAAATCTTGGAAGATTTTTCTTTCTTTCTTTCTAGATATGGTGAAGAATGACAGAAAGCAGACTAACAATTTATAAAGTGGTTATAAGATTACATTTTATTTCCAACTGACACGTGAAGACGTTCATCTGGATATTAGGAAAATCTGGCTGCCATTCAGCGTTATAGTCAAGGAATTAAGACTCAACGGAACTGTGTTTGTATCTCTGTCTGATTCCAAACTCAAATGCTGGCAACCTAATGCTGGAACTCTGTCCAAGATTAGGAACCCACACAGAGATTGGAGCAGGCCGAAGTGTTAGGCAGGCCACAAAATAAATGTTGGATATGCACAGCAATGAAAAGTCCCACTGTAACATGTGCCCGTGCACCCACAGAGCAAACGAGGGGGCATTTCTTTCCAAAATAGAGGTCGGTCAGTCCCTAACTCCTGCGAAGACAGTGCATAATAATGCCTCCCCCCCAACATTAATGCTAACAATCTCTGGTTTTCATGCCAGACTTAATAACTAATGTTTTGGAACGCATGTGCTGAACTTGGGGGACAACCTTGACTGCATGAATCGATCCTCTTAGGTGGGCTAAGATCAATAAATTGAGTGGGGCTTCAGCCAGGTGGCTGAAATGGGGAACAAGTAAGCCAAGCCATTTGGGTCAGCTGAGATTGGGGTGATGGGCAGGGGCCTGACTTGAAGAGGAAAAATGAATTTGTGCCAAGAAATCAAAAGGATCCAAGAAAACGAAGCTGACTAGGTTAAGGGCCAGCTCCAATCTCTTCTTCAGCTGCAAACATCGGTCTTTTTCCCATCAAAGTCCTGCAGAATAGACTGCCATGTTATAGTGAATAAGTCTGGGGTTTGTAGCCCCGCCCCAGTACTAGGACTGCCCAGGGACAAAAATATTTGTGTTCAATAAGCCCATTCTGTTTCTTCTGCAAGTAATCCTACAGAGACCAAATATTTGATCTCTGCTCCCCTTTTGAAGACAGTCTTAGGGTTAAAGCCTGCAATGGTGAATCAGGTATCTTAAATTAATTATATTGCTCTTCTGAAAGCTAATCTCTTTTAAGGAGCTTCTACATTTGATTTATTTCCCTTCCCATACGGAAATAACTTTTTGTTGTTGCTGTTCCTGCATGCATGCAGAATAAAACAAGCACCTTTAAATACTCTTATGTTTAGTATAAATTTTGCAGACCAAACTGCAAAAGACACAGATCTGTGTTATCCCAACCACTGTCACAGTTAGGCTCTTCCTGTGGATGAGAAAGGAGAAAGGACGTGAAAAGGGTCCCAGGTCACGTCCACATTTGGTGTGGACAATCCTCTCATGTTAACCCTCTTTAATGAGGCAGCCACCTGGCTTGATGTTGTCATCAGGGGTTGCTCTGTCTTCCTTTAAGCCTCCAGAAAATCTGGGGGTTTCCATTAATGAATGGAATAATAGCCTATTTGATAAAAGATGTCGGTACAATAAGAGTCACTTGTTGAGATGGGCGGCTATAGAAATCAAATAAATAAATAAGAGATTAGCTATATATGCATAAACATGGAACTGAGTAGAAGTATTTCCATTATTATAAAGAATTTATAATAAAAGAATTATTATTACTATATTGTTATTATATTTATATTACATTATTATAAAAGAATTTCTATTATTTTTCTGGATTACAGTTCACTATCTAAATCCAACCTTCCTTCCTTCCTTCCTTCCTTCCTTCCTTCCTTCCTTCCTTCCTTCCCATCAAAAAAGGAAGTGCTGCTCAAAACAGATCATTACTGGATTTACACATTTACAATGAAAAGAAAAGAAATACGAAGAGCCCTTTGTCAGATAGATTGGCTGAAATATCAAGGATCTCAAATACAGATTTTTAAAGCGGCACGTTTTATCTTCAGGGTAGAAAAATCTTGAAACCCTAACTCAGCAGCCTCCCGAGAAAGAAGATTTTCTTTTTGCGGGCAGTTTCCAGCTAAGCTCATAATAAATCAGAAAGAAGCTCAGCACATTCTGAGTACCAAACGACAAGGCTTAAAAATCTCCAAGCAATTAAAATTAAGCCTCTGGCTGCTTTTTGGGAAGCCAGAGATAAGGGAAACTTTCCTGCTGGCAGAAAGAGAGAGAAAGAGGGCGATGCTCAAGGAAAGGCTAAGTCCTTCTCTTTTTATTAATAAAGCCCTGTGTTTTTTCAGATACGCCGGCTGCTTTGGTGAGTTGCTTCCAAATTAACTGGGACTATAATTCCCATAATTCCCAGCCTTCCTTAACTCCTGACACCTGGATGTCTTGGGTCAATCCCATCACGGGGACTAAAGTCTGAAGACCATCTACAGAGGTAGATAAAGATGACATGGACATTTAGATGGAGACATAGATATGTTGGGGGGGGGGAGAAACATGTCAAGGCAAAGCCTAAGATAAAACTGAGTTACTAACCCCTCTCCCCCAAACAAACAGGTAGAGAAACAACAAACAAACAAACAAACAAACAAGAACGTGGAAGTACTGTACGCATATACACATATATGTACTAAGAAGAAAAAAAACATATCGAACATCCATATACAGTATTTCTACCTACAGCAACATTTGCACAGTTGAAAGTTACCCATTAAGGGAAAAGAAAACACTGTTACTGTAGCTACTAAATTACAACTTTGTTTGCAAACATCTATTCTTCATCGGAGGGATCTTTCTGAAGCTCTCTGCTGTTGTGTTGTTTTTTTCCAGCCAAGATCATTCCTCTCACTTTTGAATATCAAAATGCGATGCAAGGCAAGATGAAACATTTAATTTTCAGGATAACAACAGAAAGTGAATCAGTGTGTGATGTGACATTAACTTTTGTGCCAGAGGAAATATGGACAATCAATCAACAGCAGGATTCAGCTTGAAAGAGACTTTGGTGATTTTCCCAGTTCCTTCACAATCAAAAGGATTGGCCAATTGGGCATTGCCATGAAAGACAGTAAGATGGACTGACCCCCCACCAACACAATCCAGAAAGGTTGTAATTGACATAGTCCAGCTATAGCAGAATGGAGTCCCATCTAGGAATTATTACAGTGGTCAATTCTTGTGGTGGCAATGAATGCAACGTTGGAAGACCTGGAAGACCAGGTTGGGGACCTGGTCATGGAGAAAATCTATCTGTGTGTTCGCTAGGAGTAGAAAATGACTTGGTTGCACATAATCAATCAATTCAAATTATTTAAATAAATATCTAGCCCAAAAGTTACTTGTGTCCTTAGCCCAACCAGTGGGAGGTTCTTCTCCTCTGCACCAAATTCCTGGCAGCTGCTGAAGCCTCAAGAGTGAGGAAAGCAGAACAATCACAGACGTGAAGGTAAGTGGTGGCTGACATTGTTGGCAGGGTAGTAGGAAGGCCCAGGACTAGGAGAAACAAGACACTATTCAGAACCCACAGCAGATGTGAAAACACAATGGAGATGATGGTGGGAAGGGTGGAGGACTAGTTGCAAAATGTGGTGAAACATGGTTTAAGAATCATAGTCAGCATAGAAGCTAGGCCATCCACATGCCACTTTGATTTTTCACTGGGGGCGGGGGGTGGGGGTGGGGATTGCAGGAGAACAAAAACCTTTGCAGACAAGGTGTTGTTGCATTTTTCTTGGTTTTAAAATACTTCTCGTTCTAATTTGGTACACTGCAGAGATTGGTTGGGAGGTCCTATTTTGTATATGATGGGAGCATCTCATTAGGGCTGGCTATTAGTGATACTTTTAAGAACCAGTAGATACAGAGGATGGTCTATCAGTCTGACTTGCAAGATGGACTGTCTTGCACTGCTTTACTTGAGCTAGGTCATCACTGTGGGAGACCATGCAGTGATTCAGTTAATCCCCCACCTGTGCCTTCACCTTGCTTGCTCCATTTTCTGGTCCAGTGTGATGTAGACCATCTGGGGAGGCCCTGCGGAGACAGGAGATGTCTAATTGTCTTTTCCTGCATCTGCTGTCACCTCACATGGGGCAAGAGGCAGGATGAAAGCATTGATTCTTCAATAAATGTTGTGGCCTGATGTGTGGTGTGTGTGTGTTTTAATTTTTCTTTTTTAAATGGGAGATCCTGTTCATAGATCTTCTGGGTTTTCAGCCGAGCTCTGACTGAGTCCTGCCACTGGGCAAACCATTTGTTGATTGTCCATTTGCACGTGTTTCTACGTTTCATTTTTAGTGAATGTGAGATATCCATTCCACTCTTATACATTGTGTCTCTCTTTGAAGTCTGGATGAAAGAAATGGATCCTTTCTTATTTTTTAAAACATATATTTGCAACCAAAACTTTATTATACCACTGACGTGGCCACCCCCAAAGGCCCACTGCCTGGATAATGGAACCAACATCAGAATATCAAAGCTGGCCATGGCTATGGCTGTACAACGTAAGCAAAACTGTCCTCCTCCTGCTGAGTGAGCAACAGGAATAAAAAGGACTGTACAAAACAATCAAATTCATTCCACAGAGGGATGGTAGCAGCGCAATTAGGAAATGCTAAAAGAAAGATGTAGAAACTTCTGAGACCCACTATCCTGCTGGAAAGATGGATATCCTGCTGGATATCCTGCTGGAATTGGACCAAGGTGTTTCTGGAGCTCCCCAAGGACTCAGCCATAGAAATGGGTGCTTATTCCTATTCCCAATCTCTGAATATTGTACCTAGTAAAACAGATCTTCCATTTCAGCTGATTATTAAATCTAATAAATTACATAAACTTAATTAGGGTTGGAAGCTTTGTGATCCTTTTCAAGTCAAGGGGGGAACAGTGAAGCAAAGGAGCAGGGTTGCTGGAGGAAGAGTAAAACATTACGGACTTTTCGGACTCCCCTTGCAGAATGGCAATAGCTACAGCCGGGAAGGGTGCCGCTGCGGTGAGGAAACTCTGACAGCAGAAGCAAAGGGAGCAAAAGACTGCAGGGCCGGCTCAAAGCAGGCTTAAGCAGCTTAATCGTGGGCAGCTCTGCTCTTGACAAGCCCACTCCATTGTTTCTCTTGCACCTATGCGCTCACTTTTCACACCTTCACGTTTAAAAGAGCAGCCGACAAGTCGCACTTTTGAAAGGCCAGTTACGCTCAAGCGTCTGGGAATGGCTGAATTCTTTTATCATAATGGATCTATTTATTCCAGCACTGCTTGCTCCTCATCAGCACCACGGCAACCAAGTGCTTTCATGCTGCAGTGGGCTGCTGGCAGCAGGAGCTGATATGAAAAGGGGGGGAAATTGCATCAAGGTGTTGGAAGCTTCCAGAGCCATCCAGCAAGCTATTGCAGAGCCACGGGGGAGGAGTGACCCCCATGATTAGGCTTATCAGTTCTGAGTGCCAAAAAGTCCAGATGAATATGGTAGATGGGAGCAAAGCAAGATGGCAAACTCTTATTAGCCATCTTATAAGCAACACTAATATTTTAGAAATTATAGACAATACTGTATTGATATGAATTATATCCATTACAATTATCTAAATTATCAGAGTGTTAATGATCTCCAGTCAACATGTACCAAATAAGGCAATGTATTATTCATCTTTTAAAATAATACAGTACTACTTAAAAAAAGACTGCAAACTCGTAGCTCTTTGCTGCCCTCTGGTGGCCAACTGGAGTTTCTGGCCAAGAGGTGGTAGACCTGTAGAGTCCTTGGGGTTCTCTGAGCTTGGTTGTTTTCTTGCAAATGTTTTGTTACCTGGCTAGGTCAGATCTACTTGGGAATTGGCGTTTGTGGATTGGAAAAGCAGCCCCTGCCCCTGGGGGGAAAACGCTAGAAGGAGGAGGAGGAGGAGGAG